TCAAACTCCTGACTTCGTGATCCACCCACTTTGGCCTCCCAAAGTGTTGAGATTACAGGTGTTAGCCACTGAGCCCAGCCCTCCAGTATAACGTTTAATAGCAGTGACAAGAGTGGACATCCTTGTCTTATTCCTGATCTTAATCAAAAAGTATGTAGTTTTTCACCAGTAAGTATGATGTTAGCAGTGTATTTTTCATAGGTGCCCTTTATCAAGTTAAAGACATTTCCCTAGAGCCCTCACTTTATGAGTGCTTTATCCTGAATGGGTGTTGGATTTTGTCATATGTTTTTTCCACATCTATGGAAATGATGTGGTTTTGTTCTTTAGTCTATTAAAATGGTATACTATACTAATTGATAATTCACATGGTAAACCAACGTTGCATTCTGGGATAAATCCCACTTGGTCATGGTTTATAATCCTTTTTATACATTGCTATATTTGGTAGGCTGAAATCTACTTTCCTGAAGATTTTTGCATATATATTCATAAACGATACTGATGTGTAGTTTTATTTTCTTATGATGTCTTTATCTGGTATTTATATCGGGTTAAAACTTGTCTGGGAAATGTTTCCTCCACTTTTATTTTCTGGAATAGTTTGTGAAGGATTGATGTAAATTTTTCTTTAAATATTTGGTCAGGTTTACCAGTGAAGCCATCTGAGCATGGGCTCTTTTTGTGGGGATTATTTGAATTACTAATTCAGTTTCTGTCTTGTTATAGATACATTGAGATGTTCTATTTCTTCTTAAATCCGTTTCAGTAATTTGTATTTTTCTAGGACATTGTCCATTTCATCTGAGTTATCTAATTTATTGACACATCATTCTTCTATTGCAACCCTTTTTATTTCTATAGGTTCAATAGTACTCACTTTCAGTCTTGATTTTAGTTGAGTCTTCTTTTTTGCTTAGTCCATCTTGCTAAACATTTATCAATTCTGTTGATCTTTTCAAAGATACAACTTGTGGTTTTGTTTATCTTCTTATTTTTCTATTCTCAATTCATTACCTTCTGCTGTAATCCTTATTATTTCCTGCCTTCTACTATCTTTGGTTTACGTTGCTCTTCTTTTTCTGATTTTCTAAAATTAAAGGCTAGGTTATTGATTTCAGAACTACTTTTTAAAAATTATAGACATTTACAACTATAAATTTTCCTCTAAGCACTGCTTTTGCAGCATCCCATAAGTTATGACATGTTGGGTTTTCATTTTTATTTATCTCAAATTATTCTCTAATTTTCCTTTGGCTTTATTTTTCTTCTTTGACTTATTGGTTGTTTAACAATGTTTTGTTTAATTTCCACATATTGGTGAATTTCAAAAATTTCTTTTGTTAAGATTTAATTCCATTGTGTTAGAAAAAAAATACTTTCTAAAATTGCATTCCTTGAATTTGAGACTTGTTTTATTGCCTCATAGATGGTCTATTCTTGGAGAATGTATGAGGTGCCCTTGAGAAGAATGTGTATTCTGCTGTTTTTAGGAGTGTTCTATAGGTGCCTCTTAGATCTAGTGTTGTTCAAGTGTTCAATATTCTTGCTGACTTTCTGCTGATTGTTTCATTGTTGAAAATGACCTATTGAGGTTTTTAATTATTATTGTGAAATGATCTATTTCTCCCTTCAGATATGTCCGTTTTCTCTTTATGTATTTGGGGCTCTATCATTAAATTAATATATATTTATAATTATTACATCTTCCTAACAGATTAACCCTTTTATCATTATAATATATACTTATTTGTCTCTACTAATAGTTTTTATCTTAAAGTCTATTTTATCTGATACTAGTAAAGCCACCTCAGTTCACTATGGTTCCATTTGCATTGTGTATCTTTTTCAAAACTTTTACATTCACCTATATGTATCTTTGTATTTAAAGAGAATCTTTATAAAAGATATAGTTGGAATTTATTTAAGGTAAAAAAAAAAATTGCTGTCGACAATCTCTACATTCTGATTGGCTTGTTTAATTCAGTTGCATCTAATGTTATTGTTATATGGTTGTATTTATGTCTGCCATTTTTTGCTGTATTTTAAAAATGTGTTTTGTTTCTGTATGTCTCATGACTATTTTGTTCCTCTGTTCTTTTACTACCTTCTTTTGTATTAAGTAGGCTTTGTTAAGTGTATCATCTTTAATTCCTTTAATAATTTTTTGAACTTTTTGGGGGGTTATTTTCTTAGTAATAACTCTAGGTGCTACAATATATATTTTAACTCATCAGAATCTACTGCAGGTGTATACAAACTAAATTCCAGTAAGATATAGAAGCTTTACATCTACATAGTTCTGGTCCCTTCCCAAACATTTTGTGTTGTTTTTTGCTGTACATATTATGTCTATATATATTACAAATCAAATACCATATTGTTATAATTGTTTTATTTAAAGAAGTTAATAGGAGAATACATACATAAAGATATTTCTATCTTACCCATCTAAATACATATATACATCTATACAAATATATCTATATAGAACCATAGCTGTAGAAATATATTCTCTCTTATTTGCCATTTCTGGTTCTCTTCATTTGTTTCTGTGGATAGTTTGAGTTACTATCTGCTGTTATTATTTTATTCCCATATAGCTTTATTTCCATCCCCCTCCATTGTGTTTATTGTCAGTTATATGTATACATATTATAAGCCCAATAAAATATTATATTGTTTTATGAAATTGTCTTTAATCAGTTAATAAAAGAAAGGGAAATAAATATGTAATTATGCTGTCCTTTATCATTAGCTATATACTTATTGTTACTGTAACTCTTTATTTGTAAGGACTGAATTACTATTTTTTGTATCTTCCTTTCACCTGAAGAACTTCCCTTTAGTATTTTTTGTAAGGCAGGACTACTACCAATAAATTCTTTCAGTTTTTCTTTGTCTCAGAATATCTTTGCTTCACCTTTATTTTTGAAAGATAACTTAGCTGGATATAGAATTCTTTTTTGGTAGCTTTTTTTCTTCAGCTCTTTAAATGTCATTTACTTCCTTCTGGCCTCCATTGTTTCTAATGGCATGCCAGCTGTCAGTCTTTTTATGATTTTCTTCTATGTATTTTTTTTTTCACTTCTTTCAAGACTTTATTTTCATTTTCAGAATTTTGATTATGGTATGTCTGGATGTGGATTTTTTTCCACCTATACTACTTAGAATTCAATGAATTTCTTGAATGTAGTATTTTTCTTCAAATTTTTAGATATTTTAGTCATTATCTTATTTCTGTATTTCTTTACATATTTTTTTCTTTTTCTCTATCTTGTTTTTAGAGATGGGTCTCACTCTCTTATTCAGGCTGAAGTGCAGTGTCTGTTCTTTCCTTCTGGTACTCTCAAAATGTCTATGTTGATGTATTTAATGGTATAGCACATTTATCTAAGGCACTGTTTATTTTCTTTATTTCTTTTTTTCCCCCTGCTTTCCTTAGTTCTTTGAACATATTTATAATCATTGCTTTGAATTTTTTACACAATAATTCCAACATCTTTGTATGAAAAGGCCCCCTAAAATGTAGTTTCTACTGCCTGCTGTTTTTCCTAATTATAGGTCACATTTTGCATGTTTCTTTGCATGGCTCACAGTTTTTTGTTGAAAACAATATTTTAGGTAAAATATTGTAGTAACTCTGGATACTGACTCCATCCACCCCTCCTGGGTTTGTGGTTATTTGTTTGGTCATTTGTTTATCTGTTTGGTTATTTAGCTGGACTAATTCTGTGGAGTCTGTTTCCCCCACAGTCTGTAGCCTCTGCTATCTCTGCTCTAATTTTTTACTTGGGGTTATCTTTTAGCCTGGATTTTTATGGATCACTCCTTGGTCAATATAAGCCATTTTGTGGTAATTTTTATTCTCTACTGTCAAATATGTATGTGGATTGGAGACTGCTTTCATAATTCAAGGAGTTTTGTGGTTTTGCTCTGCATTTAGCCAGGGACTGGTAGTTTGGAAGTTTTGTCTCCAGTCACTCCTCAGAGGATACAGCCTTCAGCATATACAGTCTTCCAGACCCAGTCATGATTCTATTTCATTTTAAATTGGGTAGAATAGATTATTGTGCAGTCAGCGATGCATCACAGGTTGTACTATACCTACATCCCTGAGTCAGTAAGGCATCAGCTCTTTGCTAATCAGTCTGAATGTGGCTGGGGAATACTTTCAAGTCTGCACCACATCTTGCCTTGATTGCTACTGAGTAAGCAGAGCCTACGTGTAAGCACAGCCTTACAGACCCCAGGGATGAGTGAGCTAATCTTAGTGGGTCACTTTAGCTGTATGTTTCCCTACTTCTCTCTGTTAAGCTTCCAGCTGGTCCTCTTTGTTTCTTTGTTGCTGTTAGTTTCATGCAGCTATTAGCCTTCCAATTGTTCACCAACAAAAAAAATAATTTCTGCCTTACAGCCACATAATACAACTGTAATTCATACTTTTCTTACCTTTACAAAGTGACTGGAAAATAAAAGATTAGCCACTGAGTGGACACCCTAAACCAGGGGTTGGCAAGGTTTTTCAGTAGAAGGTTAGAGAGTAAATACTTTAGGCTTTGCAACCCACATGGTCTCTTGTAACTACTCAACTCTGTCAGTATTAGCACAAGAGCACCCAGAGATAACATATAAATTAATGAGTGTGGCTATGTTTCAATAAAACATTACGGTTGGCCCTTAAACAATGTGAGAGTTAGGGGCGCCAACCTACCATGCAGTCAGAAATCCCATTATAACATTTGACTCCCCAAAAACTTAATTACTAATAGCCTACTTGTAGAAAAATTAATTTTGAAATAATGTATATTTATTGCAATGCCTATTTAAGTAAACCTCACTACTTCCAATCGAGTATTAACATTGAATTGCTGATAGTACCTTCGAGTTTCCTTCATTGCTGTTTGCTAAATTAGCCTACCTTTATGCTTTGACAGTATTATATTTTCAGCTTAGACTAAACTTTAAGTTTTGAATTTTCTTTATTTTGTTAACTGTAGATATCGTGTTGAAGGGATAATTCCAGAATCAGCAGCTAAACTATCTGATTTCCTCTACCAAACTGAAGGCAGAGTTACATGGGATAAGTCATTGCAAGTGTATGATATGGTACACAGGATTGATTCGGTAATTTGTTGTTTAACACTAGACTTTTAGTACATTAATATATTTTTAGTTTATACCTTAGTGAGTTGAGTTTATTAAAACTACATTAAGTAGACAAAGTATTTTATAGTTTCAAATTGACTTGAAGTCTTTATAAAAGCCTTAAAAGTTCCCTCTTTATTTTCCAAGGGTTTAATTCTAATTAACTTTATTCTGCTTCTTAATGTATATTACATTTTGAATCTGGTAAGCTCTCTTGCAATGTGTGCCATTTGTTATAAGGGAACAGAACTCAGGGATTCACCTCCATTCCATGGAAAACAAAGGTTAAGTATGACCCCTTGATGGGAAGTCTGTAGACTTATTTTAGTCATGTTACATTAGGTATTAGGAAACTTACAATCATGGCAGAAGGGGAAGCAAGCACATTTTACCATGGCAAAGCAGGAGAGAGAAGAAGCACAGGGGGAGATGCCACACACTTTTAAACCATCAGATCTCATGAGAACTCACATCGCAAGAACAGGAGCAATGCAGACACATACCATAAGGACTTAAAGAAAAACAGCATATAATGTTTAAGAGTAAGTGTATGAGACCGTTCTCCCACTGCTCTGAGGAAATACCCAAGACTGGGTAATTTATAAAGGAAAGAGGTTTAATTGACTCACAGTTCTGCATTGCTGGGGAGGCCTCAGGAAACTTATAATCATGGTAGAAGGCAAAGGAGAAGCAGGCACCTTCTTCACCAGGCAACAGGAGAACAGCATGGGAAAAACTGCCCCCATGATCCAATTGCCACCACCTGGTCCCTCCCTTGACATGCGGAGATTACAATTCAAGGTGAGATTTGGGTGGGGACACAGAGCCAAACCACAGCAGTAAAAATAAAGTAAGGAAATAACATTATATAGAAGGTTGAAGTTTAGGAACTCTTTCAAATATATTATCTCAGTTAAATAGATATAAAGAGGGAGAATAAAACAAAGAAAAAACGCAAAGGTAACTGGAGTAGAAAGTTAAAGATACAGTTGAGAGAAGAGACAATGTGAGAGACAAGTATGGTTTAGAGAGAAGAAAGGATTAATATGAGGTAAGGGCAGAATGAAAGCTCAGGTGCAGAAAAAATAAATGACAGGAATGATGATACATGGTAAAAAGAGGTTGTATTAGTCTGTTTTCATACTGCTATAGAGAACTACCTAAGACAGCAATTTATGAAGAAAAGAAGTTTAATTGACTCAAAGTTCTATAGGCTTCACAGGAAGCATGACTAGAAGGCCTCAGGAAATTTACAATCATGGCAGAAGGTGAAGGGGAACACCTTGGCATGAGATAACAGGTAACTCTTGTTTCTTTGGCAGAACAGGAGAGAGAGGGAGCTAAGGGGGAGATGCCACATACTTTTAAACCATCAGATCTCATGAGAACTCATTATCACGAGAACAGTGATTGGGAAGTCTGCCCTATGATTCAGTCACCTCCCACCAGGCCAATCCTCCAATTAAACATGGTATTTTGGCAGGGACACAAATCCAAACCATATTAGAAGTAGCAACAAGGATGAAGAAGTGGGATAAGTGATTCTAAACTTTGGTCCAGCACACTATAGATATCACATTTATTTATTAAAGCCATAAAAATAACCACCTGGAGGGATGGGGGCATGATTCTTTTCTCCTCCTGTAATGTACTAAAATTCATTCCCCATTTCTGTTATTATTTGTGTTTTCTCCCTCGTAGGAAATCTGTTTGTGGGGGAATACCGACTTTGTTCCAACCTCTCCCAGACTGATGTGTATGTTCTTTTGACTAATTAATTCACTTCACTAATACTTTTTGAGCAACTGTTGTGAACTACATACTGTTTCAGGCATTAGGGACACGTAAGGGAAGAAGAAGAAATTGTCCCTGCTTTCACAAAACTTGTATTTTCATCAGAAGAGACATAATAAATAAACAATTTTTAAAAACTTACCAATAATGAAGGCTAGGATTGGCAATGAGTATTATGAAGGATAATAGTAATATCCTTATTACTATTAATAACAATAGTAATAACCAGGAGAAGCTAATTGATAGCTAGAGAATTGGGAAAGGCCTCTCTGAGTAATAGACATTAGAAATCTTGGTAACAAAATGGAGGTTAGGGAGATAGACATGCAAAGATCTGGGAGAGAGTAGCCGACATAGGGGAAAGCAAATGCAAAGGCCTTGTGGTCGAGAGTTTGGCAGTGTTCAATCAAGAGGTAAACAAGGTCTAAGGAGTTTGACCATAAAAAGCAGGAAGAGTGGTTAAGAGGTGAGAGGTTAGGCTTGGATCAGATTCTGCAAGAGTCTTAAAGGTCAGGGGTAGAAGTTCTGCTCTACATTGAGTGGAAAGCCATTGGAGTGTTTTAAGCAGGGAAGTGACTGATGTGATTTACACTTTTGAGAGACAGCTGCTGAAAAGAGCATGGATTGTAAGGGGTAAGAATGAAATCATCAAGAATAGTTAGGAGGCTATGAGAGTAAGCTAAATGAGACATCATGGTGACTTGTGCTAGGATGGTAGATGTAGAGATGGAGGTAAGTCAGGGAACCCAAAGATATAGAGATAGAGTCAATAGGGCTGACTGATGCAGGGAGAGAGGAATCAGGTAAGTCTTCTAAAACTGGATTGTGTTGTAATTGCACAAAGAAATTTCCTTTAGGAAACTCATTGAACTGTATACTTAAAATAGGTCAATTTATGGTATGTATATTATACTCAGGCTGGTTTTAAAAATGAGTCCTAGATTTCTGGCTAATAATAACTTTATTTAAGAGATTTTAAAAATGTGAGTGATTGAATAAAGGAAATTTTTATGATTTTCACAAATAATTCTGTTTGTAAAATTTCAGATCACTAGGCCTTAGGTTAATTCTCCAACCTGCATTCCATTTATCAAAGCAAACAAAAATAAATAATAAATAAGCCACATATCTGCGATCATCTTATCATTTACTTAGAATTCTGTAGTTTTACCTACTTTTATTAAACTGATCTTAAAATCTGGGAGAGAAGAGTTGTAGAAAAGCCCATGATGGTGAATCTGTTTCATCTTGTAGAAAGTTCTTGATCTTCATCTTGTAAATCAGTTTTATTTTGTAGAGAGTAAGTTCCTATCCACAAAAAACACATGTCCATGACCTTGGGATTTGAACATTCAGTTTGAGAACCACTGGGCATCACAAATGAAAATCCAAAAATTAAACTATTTCATTTATCTTTGCGTGATACTAATCATGCAGTTTCATTAGTACTTCAGATATTTCTGTTGTTGCAAATCATACATTATAATAGAGTACTAGATGTGACATCCAAAAACCTGAAAACAAACTCAGAGATTATGTGACTTACTCAAGGATAATACAGCTAGTATGTGGTAGAACCAGAACTTGTACCCAGTCTCCTAATTCCAAATTTTGTGCCCTTTCCAGTATACCTTGTATCTCTGAATAGCATTATACTGCAAGAGGAATTATTTTACCCTTCTGTTAATATTTATAGTATTCATCTCCAGGACTATGTTTTATTTAGTTGGTTATTTTTATAATAATAATAATTTTTTTAGAGATAGGGTCTCACTCTATTGCCCAGGCTAGAGTGCAGTGGTGTGATCAAAACTCACCGTAGCCTCAGACTCCTGGGTTCCAGTGATCCTCCTACCTGAGCCTCCCAAGTAGCTGGAATTACAGGCATGTGCCACCATGCCTGGTCAAGGATGTATTTTAACTGCCTCCTCTTCAACCTACTGGTGAGAGAGAGAGTCCCACTCTAGGGTTATAGGGATGGCCAAACACATAATACTCACCACTGGAGAAGTGAGGTAGACTGAAGTTTATTAATCATTAATCACAGACCAGGGAGGGAGGACAAACTATGCCACACAGGGCAACATGGGAACAGAGGAAATACCTACGGGCTGTGGGAGGCAGCCTTTGCATCAACAGGATAGGGTGAGCCCCAGTTCCTGCAGGAGAATGTGATTGACTTGTTTGAATGATTCCACGGGTCATCAGGGAGATGAAACCACTAAACAGGAATAAAAAATAATAACTGTGCTGGTCCTGTTGAGAAGCAGGATTGTTTGGCTAGGGGATCTTACCTGCAGGAATGAAGAAGGAAAGGAATGTGCAGTTAGGCCATTCAGGACCCCCCTGGTTTCACCCTATGCTGGTTTTACCAGCATATGATATTGGGCTTTAATTTTAGACCTTACCCCACAGGGTGCTAAATCAATGCATTTTTCAAAATACATTACTTAGCCTATGTGGAGTAGTAGAAATAGTACTGTATGGGGAATCAGGAAGCCTGGGTTATCTGTACTTACCTCTAGTTGTGCATGTGATTTAATTTGTTAGGCTTCAATTTCTCCATCTAAAAATGGAAAGAGTAGATGATCTCAAGATTGCTTCTTGAATTTTCTATACTCATTAACGCTCCTTTAACATTCAAAATCCAAGCTGATTTGCTGATAAGGTCTTCAATTTCAAAGTCCTGCTTTTTCCAAATAGAGGCCAATCATATGCAATAAAATTTGGGAGGGAAATGAAACAAATAATAGATATTAAATAATTGTTGTAAACTTTATGGTTTGAATTGTTGCAGGACACATTCATATGTCATACCATTACACAAAGTTTTGCCATGGGCTCCATTTCTCCTCGAGACTTTATTGACTTAGTGTACATCAAGCGCTACGAAGGAAATATGAACATTATCAGTTGTAAGTTGAAAAATTTTGCCCATATTTTGGAATTACTGTGAGCCATTAATAAGTGTTTTCCAAAAATAAAAATAAAAATGTTTTCTCTTTTGAGTTTGAAAGAAATCATATTTACAATTACTGACCTTTAAAATTTACTTAGTGAGATCAACAAATACACATATCATATAGACATGTCTGGGGACACTCTGAAGGTTCCATTAATATAACAATCAATGTTTACAATATCTCTTAGACTTCCGCAGCATACATCCTGTAGCACAGAGTATAGACAGATACTTGTAGCCGAAAATGTCAAGGTATACATTTTTTAAATCCTAAGTAACAAAATTAACTGTTAGATATAATTTTATATTTGAATTGCTTAGAACGGGCATATCCAGTAACTGATAAAACTGTTAAAGAAATTTCCACTAGATGGCTCTTCATATAAATGTGCTTATATTTCTTTTAGAAACTGCAGGTTTTGATATATCTCGATTCCCATTCCCAAATGTGTCACTCTGTAAAATGCAAATATGTAATCATTTTCTAACTTGCATTATTTGATCAAACATACCATTTCATACCATAAGGATCTACAGACTCAGATAATTTAAGATAACTCATGGTGAAGGAACTTTGGTAGCACAGTGGCATAGAGCCCTTTATTCTCTATGATTTGAATTAATTTCACCATTCCTATCTGAATAGTTTCCCCTATTGTAAAGTACTTGGAAACAGGGACAATTAAGTTGTATTAATTATTACTTCTCAACAAGATTTCACTTCCTCTGAGATGTCTTTCATACTCTTAAGTTTCAGAGTCCAGATTGAGTCGCAGCACTCATTCAAACCCAGTTAGCTCTTTCTACAGCATACCACAAAGGGCTGATGTTCATAATGTTCATATATGTCTAATTGCCTTGTTTTTGAAATGAGGGTACATATAATGTATTCACTGCCTGCAACATAAAATAGTCTGTCTGAACAGATCATAGATCTGTTATTTTCCACATTTTGAAAGCAGACCATTACTATATACTTATTAGTGATCAGAGGGAAGCTAAAAAAGAAGTAGAGGTTAAAATCGACATTTAGAGGTAATCAATCACGTGGTGCACAAATCACTACTGAATTTGCTGTAAGAAGTTTCCATTGAACGAATTTTTGATCAATACTCATGGTTTTCTTAAGGTTTCTTTCTTTTTTTTATTCTACCCTACACGTTGCTTTAAGCTAAATATTTTGCTTGCATTATCTGACTAGTGAGGAAACTGAAGTTCATGGAAATTAAGCAGTTAAGAAATTAAGTTACATAGCTAATAAGCAGCTAAACCAGAATTAAAACTCAGATCTTTCTGATTTTCCAAAATAAGTGCTAACTACCACACCATATGCTTCATAAAAGACCCATACCTGCTTGTAGACTACAACAGATTTTTTTGAAGTAGACAAGTATAATTTCCATATTTCAGAGAAAAAATCTTTTATAATAACATCACTTCTGTCAGTACTACTACAGGCTCTGTTAAGATAATGAATAAATCATAAAAATGGAAAATTCATTCAACTACTCCAGTCTCCTAAGTTAGTGTTTCACATTGTATTGATTTCCTTATGTAAAATCCTATCAGAAAATCCATCTTCTCTGACAAGAGCAGGATTCAGTTGCACAGAATAAACAAATATATTTTTAAATATTTTAGAAACAGTATACATATTATCATAAATTAAATACATAAACCACCCCCCTCTGCATTCATATACAATACAGATACTAAGTTGCATAATTCTAAAATGAACTTTACTGATATTTAGTTATGATTTGAAGTAAGCTACAGGGAATTGCAGAGAGAGTGTTTTAAGCTATCTTTATTAACAGACCATCTAACCACTTCAAATATTTTGTTTAAAAAAAAAATGATTAACACAAAAATCTATGAACCCACAACCCTATGAGAATAGTTTTCACACAAAGCTAGTTTTCAGTTTTCACTCAAACCCAGTGAGATTTTAAGTTAGTTATCAGCAATAACTACTTTCTGAGATTTGAGCTATCTTTTCCTTCAAATCTCAGAAAATAGTTAAATGATACTTTTGACCATTTTTATTGTATACAGAAGTTGACAGCATCTTTAGAAATACTAGCAGGAAAAAGTTTAAAAGGACAACAGTGCTCATACTGGCATTTTCTCAGTTTTGGCTTGTGTGCACCTTCATATGTGCAAATACACATTCACATGTATAAAACTAATGTTAATGCTGATAACTAACTTAAATGCTATATTATCTAGTTTTTAAAATATGCTACTGGAAATAGTTTTTCATCTTTGGGAAATAGGTTTCATTTTAATTTTTTTTTTTAATCTCTTAGCTAAAAGTGTGGATTTTCCAGAATATCCTCCATCTTCAAATTATATCCGTGGTTATAACCACCCTTGTGGCTTTGTATGTTCACCAATGAAAGAGTAAGTATTATTTGCACTTATTTATTTTAACAGCTTTTTGGTTCAACTTGTGATTTAGTTCAAGATTCCTGCTCATCATTAGAAATATGTACCAGCATATTCTGTTGGGGAAAAAAACCTGCGGCTAAATATGATTTTTAAAATAACTTCTTATAATCGTTTTCATTTTAAGTATAATCAGAATGGATACTTCCCTACAAAGTGTGATCTGAATTTCTGAGAACAGTCAAACACACAAGCATTTCCCAGCAGTTAAGCTTCCTTGATGTTTTCTATTTCTCCATTAGAGTCATTTCTGTAAATTATTAAGGATTTTTGTGAATTAAAAAATACTCATAGAATTATAACATACTTATATTAGTAACGAATGCATTACTTTGAATGAAATCTTCCCAATGGACTACCTATTAAGAGCAGATACCTGCAAAATGAGATCCAGTAGTTATATTCAGATAAAAGAAAAGCTGAAGAAATCAGAGGTGAGTCACTACCTAAAGGTGGCCTCCGGATAAAATGGCAGCATATAACATACATATTTTGCAAAGGCATAAATTCTATTTCAATGTATATCATTTCACAAGTTCCTTAAGTTTTAATGTTTGCTAAATGATTTTTTTATTAAGTAAAAGATATTGAACCATGAAAACAGATACATTGGTCAGATAAAAATGTATGTGAAGGAAGCCCAAATGAAATTAAATTTTGGATCTGTATTCCTTGACATTTCCTCTACTGAAATAAAAAAAACTAAAAAAACCTCATAATTATTCACGTTATTGTATAGGATTTGTTGATACAGATAATAACAATGTGTGGTCTTTCTACCCATTTGTCAATTTTGAATCTATGGCCAAGACTTTATTCCCAAAACAAATGAAGGATAATTACTCCAATTCAGCAAGGTAAATCAACTGCTCGCATGGACTATAGCTGGAAAATTACACACCTTAAAAGTGTGCTTCACAAGGCAAGGCCCCTTCTTGCACCTTGTCAATGTCAAAGTGCACTCCAGTAAATGTTGGAAAGGCTTTCTTATGTGTGTAAAGCCATCATAAACACAAAGATTTAAGACCATACAAACTACTAGAAAGGAGAGTAGTCCCCCTTTATCCATGGACATATGTTCCATGACTCCAAGTAAATGCCTAAACCCATGGAGAGTACCAAACTCTATGTATACACCATGTTTTTGATCTCATAATCAAGAGGGCTACTAAGTGACTAATGGGTGGGTGGCCTATATGCCTGAATATGCTGGTAAAGGGATGATTTCACATCCTATGTGGGACAGAGCAGGACAGTGTAAGATTTCATCACACTACTTCATAATGTGCAATTTAAAGCTTATGAATTTTTCTTATTTCTGGAATGGGTTGAATTGGGTAAATGAAATTGCAGCAGGTGAAACAAAGGATAAGAGGAAACTACTATATTCTCAATCTAGCCATTTATGTCACTGTAAAAATAGTCTAAACCCTGCACAGAGAAAAATATAGGAAAATGGACAATCACACTGTTTGTTGGAATGGTAGTCTTCTTTAAAAATGTTATAAAACTATATTCCCCCTTGCACATTTTTAAGTTAACATTAAAATTTTTCATAGGATTACATTGACGAAAAGTAAATTACTTTGATGAAAAGTACAATTCCCAGCATGTGCAAAATATTGACATTTTAAATAATGGTTATATCATCCTTATAAACATATACACTATGTTATAAATACCATAACTTGAAACCCACCATTAAATTATTCACTTCAAAATATATACAACCTTTAACAGTCAGAACATTTACATCATTCTGTTCCTCCTGAACTCATATTTTTATTTCTCCCCTTCATATAATTTTATTCTAATAGAATATATTTTATGCTTTGAGTTCTTTCATAGTCATCCTAATTCTCCATAAAAATGACATGTGTTTAAAGTTTTAAAATTTGTTTTATTTCCTATAACCATACTATCTAACAATTAAAAATACATATGTGCCACGAATGTTCATTGCAGCACTGTTTACAATAGCAAAGACCTGGAACCAACCCAAATGCCCAAAGATGATAGACTGGATAGGGAAAATGTGGTACATATACACCATGGAATATTATGCAGCCATCAAAAACGATGAGTTCACGTCCTTTATAGGGACATGGATGAACCTGGAAACCATCATTCTCAGCAAACTGACACAAGAGCAGAAAATCAAACACTGTATATTCTCGCTCATAGGCGGGTGTTGAACAATGAGAACACATGGACACAGGGAGGGGAGCACTACACACTGGGGTCCGTTGGGGGGAAATGGGGGAGGGGCGGGGGGTGGGGAGGTGGGAAGAGATAGCATGGGGAGAAATGACAGATACAGGTGAGGGGACGGAAGGCAGCAAAGCACACTGCCATGTGTGTACCTATGCAACAATCTTGCATGTTCATCACATGTACCCCAAAACCTAAAATGCAATAATAATAAAAAAAAAAATACATATGTGCCTTCTGGATTAAGTTGTTATCATAACATATTGATCACAATTAAAAATATTTAATTACAAATTTAAATACAAATTTTGTTACATAAACATAATGCAAACTGTCATTAGAAACATGTATTTTATTATTAGCAAAACTGAAATAGCACTTACTAGTGCTAGGTACTGTTATAAACAATTTGCATATATTGACTCATTTGATCTTCAAAGTAATCCCATAAAGTAGGTAGTATGATGATGCCCAATTGGCAGGAAAGAAAGTGGAAGCCCAGAGTGATTAACTGTCTGAAGGTTACATATGGGTAATAGGAAAGCTCAGTTTCAAACCAAGGCAAGCTAGTTCCTGACTCCATGCTTTTTAACCATTACAATCATTTCATTTAACTGTGGGTGTATATTACTGATTTTTTTTAAAAAAAAAAAGACAGCATTCAATATCAAGTCTACCACTGCTTTCATTTTTAAAAAAACTGAAGAAAATTTATTAACATAAATATGTTAAAATGGTGAGAGTATAATGCCAGCACTGTCATTCAATGCCTTGAAATCTTTCTGAATTATATACCATAAATTATGTAGTGATCTATCATAAAAAAAAAAAAAAAAAACTATCCAGGCACAGTGGCTCACGCCTGCAATCCCAGCACTTTGGGAGGCCGAGGCGGGTGGATCACCTGAGGTCAAGAATTCGAGACCAGCCTGGCCAACATGCCTGTAGTCCCAGCTGCTTGGGAGGCTGTAGCAGGAGAATCCCTTGAACCCAGGAGGCAGAGGTTGCAGTGAGCCCAGATCGCGCTACTGCACTCCAACCTGGGTGACAGAAAGAGAGTCCATCTCAAAATGAAAAAATCAAACAAAAAAAAGACCTGTCAGCTGACAACTCAATTAGATCCTTAAGTTTTACGGAAAAAAAAAAAAAAAAATTGACATGACTTGGGAAAGAATTTTTTCTCAACTCACTTCTAATCAAATTTTCCTTTTAGCATCTCAAAGATTTTCATATACCAAAGTAAAGTACCGTAGTACTATTTTGTGTGGATAACAGGTATGCCTGTGTTGTATAAAGCAAGAGAAGGGCAATTCTGAATGGGCTGATAGGAAAGAAAAAGCCCACATCTCCATCAGAGATGGAGGCACGGTTATAAACAATTTACAGATCAGATTGAGGAAAAAATGTATTTACAGATCGGATTAAGGAAAAAATGCACATAGAAGTTAGAGATTTGAAAATTTATTCTTTTGAAAATGTTCATCCTTTCCTACCCCCGTGTGAAGATCACTGGGTTAGAATATAAAATACCACTTAGAGTGCAGTTTGGAATTAACATGTGAAAAAGCCAAACGCACAAACATTTGACCTAGAAATTCTAAGTATTTATAAAAGTATAAATGGGGCCGGGTGAGGTGGGTCACACCTGTAATTCCAGCAGTTTGGGAGGCTGAAGTGGGAGGATCATTTGAGGCCAGGAGCTTGAGACTAGCCTTGACAACATAATGAGACCTTGTCTCTTTAAAAAATTTTTAAAGAGCCGGGCGCGGTGGCTCAAGCCTGTAATCCCAGCACTTTGGGGGGCCGAGGCGGGTGGATCACGAGGTCGAGAGATCGAGACCATCCTGGTCAACACGGTGAAACCCCGTCTCTACTAAAAATACAAAAAAATTAGTTGGGCTTGGTGGCACGTGCCTGTAATCCCAGCTACTCAGGAGGCTGAGGCAGGAGAATTGCCTGAACCCGGGAGGCGGAGGTTGCTGTGAGCCGAGATCGCGCCATTGCACTCCAGCCTGGGTAACAAGAGTGAAACTCCGTCTCAAAAAAAAAAAAAATTTTAAAGAGCCTGTAGTCCCAGCCACTCAGAAGGCTGAGGCTGGAGAATTGCTTAAGCTTAGGAATTTGAGGCTGCAGTGAACTATAATCACATCAGTGCACTCCAGCCTGGGCAACAGTGTAAGACTCCGTCTCAAAAAAAAAGTGTAAGTGGATACATTACAAAAATATTTTATTGCAATTTTACTTACAGTAGCCAAAAGTGAGAAACAACCTAAATGATAGTCAATCAAAGGACTGTTAAATAGAATATGAAATACTGTCTGTAGCCATGAAAAACAGTTAAGTAGATCTATATGTATAGACACAGAAGGAAGTTCATGGTATCCTATTAAGATGAAAATAAAACTAGTTGCAGAAATATATCTCTTTAAAAAAATTAAAACTATATTTATATATGTGAGGTGCATATTCTCTTATGTACATATGTATGCTGTCTTTGTGTAAATATATAGACAGTCACCTGAAAAGATAACAATTAAAACTATAAACAGTGATTATCTCTGGGAAACAGAATAAGGGGAATAAGGGAAGAATAATTTTCTTTAATTAAAAAAATTTATATTGTTTAAATTTTCATAAGCATACATTACTTTTAGAATTTTTTAAATTCAATAAAAACACAAAAAGGAAAAGGTGCCTAAAACTGAAGATTTTAAGAAATATTCTAGCCACTCGATACTTTTAATTAAAATTTTTGTAAGTATGTCAATGGTGAATAAGACAAGAATCCTGCTCTCCAAAAACCTTTAAATTCAGTAAGTAAATCTAAAAATTCCTTTTCTTTTCCTAACTCTCCCTTTGCTTACAGAAATCCAGCATATTCCAGAATAGTGATGTTTGTCCAGACAGAAATGAGAGGAAAATTGTCCCCATCAATAATTGAAAAAACTATGCCTTCCAACTTAGTAAACATCATCCTCAATGCAAAAGATGGAATAAAGGCACACAAAACTCCATCACGACGTGGATTTCATCGTAATAGGCATTCCTGATACCAAAAGAAGAAATAAGGCCATTCTGCTATAAAATCATGTGTAGAAGTTATTGCAGTTTACTTCTAAGTCAACACACATAAATAATACTGTTAAACTATTCTAGACAGTATTCTTGTACACATTCCTGAAGATTGTTCATGAAAATAAGAACTCACTGTTGTACAAGAAAATGGCATTAAATGTAGTTTTTAATCTCACATAAGAATGATGTTAAATAACAAGTGTTATTTAGTACATTTTTATCTTTTGCCTTTGTCCCTGTAAAATGCTCTGTATGAGAACCAATAAGAAAGCCGATACAGTCAGAGATCAGCATTAAAGGTTAAATACATTTTACATTGTTTTTCCTTCACTTACTGCTTAAATTGAGAATTGTAGGAAACATGAACATAAAAATGGAAAAGAATTCCACTGAAATGTATGACCAATGACATTTAGAATTTTAAATGGAATGAGTCAAAAGCAATTTCTGGTGTGGCTGAGATTCAATAACCCATTCCTTTCAAGTCTTTACTCTTGAAAGTTAAAGACCGTGCACATAACACAACAAACAAGCATAGGAGAACTCAAGCATAGGTGGAAAGAATGCAGCAAATTATCTAGAGACCTTGGGACTAAAGGAATGACATTCAGTGAGTTCTCTGGGTTTCCTTATTGCCTCCCACATATCCCATATGGGAAAGAAACACACACACACACACATACATACAACTGCATGCATGAAAAAGCCTGCTCCTCCTAGTCATAGGACCAGGCGCTTAACAGAACAAAAACACTTTTTTATAATGTCCACCCTACACCAGCCAAACATCAACCTACAAACCACTCCCATTCCACCCCCATGGTTCCAATGGGGCAGAGCAAGAAGACACTTTTCCATCCTGCCCCACCCCCATCCCATAGCAGCAGATGGTGGTACCCTGACACACCCCATTCTATGGTGTCTGCAAAGCTGAGCAGGGAGCTAATCTCCCACCTTCTACCTGGCAGATGCAGATAGCACTGATGGCCCTTTCTGATGATGTAGACTGACCATGCAGGGAGCTAATTTTCTGTCTTCCACTCAGCAGCAACAGAAGGTAGTACAGGTAATATGAGCAGAGTCCAGTGACAAAGACAGCTTCTACCCCCAGCTGGCAGCAACGAGACTTAACCAGTGTCTTAGTCCATTTTCTGTGGTTATAACAGAATATCACAGGTTGGATAATTTCTAAAGAAAAAAAGTTTATTTAGCTCGCAATTCTGGAGACTGAGAAGTCCAAGAGCATAGTACCAACATCTGGTGAGGACCTTCTTACTACATCATAACGTGGTGGAGGGCATAACATGACATGAGGGCAAAAGCAAGAGAGAGCTCACTTTTATACTAAAGCCACTCCTGTGATAGAAACATTATTCCATTCATAAAAGCAGACGGACATTCAACCCATAGCAACTAGGCAGTGCAAAGAAAGGCTAGTGATCAGGAAGCTTCAAAACCCTCTCTAGCCCTTCTCCCACCCTGGAGTCACCAAGGCCCAGCAGGATGCTGAGCTTCCATCCCCACCCGCATCAGTGGTTTCCCTTTTGTATTGGGAACAGTAACCCACAAAAAAAAAAAAAAAAAAAAAAAAAAAAAAAAAAAAAAAAAAAAAAAAAAAAAAAAAATGGCCATGTCACATCCCTGGAACTTGAGAATGTGACCTTATTTGGAAAAAGAGTCTTTGCAAAGATCATTAAACACCTTAAGATGAGATCATCCTGGATTATCCCAGTAGACTCTAAATCCAAAAACAAATGTCCTTATAAGAGATACAGAGAGGATAGAAGCATGGAGAAGAGAGGGCCATGTGAAGACAGAGGTAGAGACTGGAGTTTGACAACTATAGTCCAGGAACATTTGGAACCACCAGAAGCTGGAAGAAGTGAAAAAGGATTCACCTCTAGAGCTTTCAGAGGGAATGTGGCCCTGCTGTCAGACTTCTGGCCTCCAGAGCTATGGGAGAAAAAAATTGTTTTTTAAAGCCACCAAATTTGTGAAAATTTGTTATAGTAGCCATAGGAAAGTAATACACTCTCTCTGATATTGGCAGGGTTCAGCAGGGATCTGAGCCTCCATTCCTACCTGAGCATCAAGGTGGAACAAAGAGGTAGGACATGGGCCATGCAGCACTCCACCTGCCTGTCACCTCCCCTGTGTCACAGGTTCCACTGGGGAGATGAGCTTCCAGTCTCACTGGGAAGCAACAAGGATGTGCAAATCAGTGTCCCACCTTTGCCAGGAGGATGTCAACAGGGCCAGAAGGGGAGCTAAACTGCCAGAGTGGTGATGGCAGAGCCCAACGGAAGCCTGAACCAACACATCCACGCAACCCTCATACTACACCTGAACAGCAGGACTGCCTTGTAAAAATGAAAATTAATAGGATCCAGGGGTCTTCAGAAAGGAAAGAACATTGTAATGGGTAAAAATAAGCTGTTCTCTTGAGTATATTAAATCATATTTGATGGCTGACAGAGGTTCAAAAACAATTCAATGGAACAGCCTTTCAGCAAATGGTGTTGGAGCAGCAGGACATTCACAGGTCTTGATCTAACCTTACACCAAGTACAAAAAGTTACTTAAAATGGAACATGTAGCTACATGCAAATTATAAAACTATAAAATATTTAGAAGAGAAACACAGGATAAAATTCTCAGAACCTACAACTAGGCAGAAGTATACTTGACACCAAAAGCATGATTCTTAAAAGAAAAAATGATAAATTGATCTTTATCCAAGTTAAAAAATGTATGCTATGTGAAAGACCTGTGAAGAGGATGGAAAGAGAAGTGATGGACTTGAAAAAAATATTTGCAAGACATTGCCGACAAAATACTTGCACCTAAAATATATAAAGAGCTTTCAAAACTCAACTGTGTAAGAAACGATTTAATTAGGAACAAAGACAGGGACATTTCACTGACTAAGATACCCATATATCAAAAGATGTTCAGCATCATTGGCCATTAGGAAAAGGCACATATCAGTACTTGCTTACCAGAATAGCTAAAATTTTTTTTCGTAAATAGTGATAACATCAAGTGTTGGCAAGGATTTGGAGAAACTGGATCACTCATACATTGGACCCAGAAATGTGAAACAGTTAATTCCTCTCTGGAAAAGTGTGGCAGTGTCTTGAAAATCAAACAATCTTACTGTACAACCCAGCATTTGTACTCTTCATTCCATGGAAATGAAAGCGCTCACACAAAAACATGTACACAAATGTTAATAGCAGCTTTATTCTAAATAGCTAAAAATGAAACAACCCACATGAGTGAATAAACTGTGGTAATCCATAAACAGAATACTAAGTAATAAAAAGGAGCAAACTATTGATGTACACAACAACTGAAATTGTCTCACAAGAATAATAATGAAAAAGCCAATCTTATAAGGTTAAATAGTGCATTCTTCCATTTATTTAACATTTTGAAATGACAAAATGATAGAGATGAACAGAATTATTGGTTTCTAGGGTTAAGGAGGTAGGGGGAGGAGAAGAAAGAAAGTGGCTATCACTTTGAAAGGGTAGCAGGAGGGATCTTTGTGATAAACCTGTTCTGTGTGTTGACTGTGGTGTGGTCACATGAATCTATACATGCAATAAAACTGCACAGAATTAACACACATGCATAAATGAGTACATGTAAAACTGGTGATATCTACATAAAGGCAGTGGATAGTATCAATGTGATTTTCCTAGTCACGATACAGAACTGTAGGTACGCAAGATATAACGAGGAGAAACTGGATAAAGGAAATATGGCATCACTCTGTATTATTTTTCAAAACTGTATGCAAATCTACAATTATCTCAAAATAATTTTTTTTAAATAGAAAAGCCTATCTAAGCCAGAAAAGAATGTCATGAAAGAATGTCTCATAATCGAAAGCATTTTTTTATTTGATTATCTACCATATCACTCATTATTTACCAATATGTGGTTGATGGGTTTACCTTATTAATATTTGTTTGACATTACACTTTACAATTTATTAAATATTTTCTAATCTCACTCTATGGATTGCAATGATTGTTAAGAAAATATTATTATTTAGCTCCAGGACAAAGCCTATTTTTATTCATAAATATGTATCAAATCTAAAAAATGTACACACCTTTTTGGAATTCTGGCTTGAACAACTCTAATGTTTCATAGAAAAATAATGTCAAAATTCAAGTGTAAGAAGATACAGAAATACTATTCTCATGAAGAATAATTAGGTCTTTTCATGGCACTCATTTCAGACTCCTTTAATAATCACCCTCTAGCTTCACAATTTTGTCTTCCAGCCTTCTGTACATGAGAGAGGATGCACAGAAATCTGGGGATTGGGGCCTGTGGGAGGAAGAAGGGTATAGTGGGGGAGAAGCTGGAAGGCACATAGAAAACCACTGCAATTTAAAAGAGCAGCATAACTAAAGGCTGACTGTCTTCTGTTCCCAACTCTCTTTCTAAATCTACTGGGAATCTGAGTGTTATTTTCCCTTTTCTACTGAATGTTCAGGAGACATAATTAAAGGTATAGTTATACTATGATTTAGAATATGCCTAATTTTGTGAGTATGCAACTTTTATAGTTTTCGAATTTAGACTTTACTCTTTGAAGAATGTGAGCCTTTTAGCCAGTCCTAAATTTCATAAAATTACAAGTTACCAAATTATATATTTTAATAAAATATGTATCTCAAGAAAGATAAAAATCTTGAAATAAGAAAGCCATACATAAGTTTTTTCTTTCTCTTACAAATAGGAAAATGGAATATTTTATTAACTTGTCTCCTATTTAAGGTAAATGTAAATAATAATAGCAAACAAATTAAAAGGAAATAATACCAGGTACTATATCTTTCATTCCTTCTCCTTGCCCTGTCATCAACTCTACATATTATGTTATTTTGTTACTTCAGTTACTTCTAAATAGTTAGGAATTGCAGAAGGTACCATATATGATAATAACAATTCCATAAAACAAAAAGGCTTAAAGGTAAGCAATACTGGCATCCAAATAATATGACATATAAAAATAATTTAACAATTCTGAACATAGATTTTTCTATATATATTATCCTTCTTACCATATAACTCCTCTAATACTTTCAGATATCAGACACTACTGGACTTACCAAAAGAAAAATATTTATATTTAACCAAATTAAGTGCTTACTCCCCATGCCCCATGTCCTTTATCAATGTCCCTTCTCTACCATGATTTTGTACACATTACAGTATTAATGAATCAGAAAAGTGATTTCCATAGAGGGGAGTGCAACATTATTATATCAGTTAAGAAAACGTTTCACTGCAAACAACAAAAATATGATTTATAGGAGACATAAGTGTTG